CAGAAATGATCAAAACTGATGGGAACCGTGCCGAATATACATTAAAAGCATAGGACAGTGGATATAAATTATATATTTAAACTAAAATAATTATTAGTTTCCAATAATGGCAGGTGAGGCTCTGCCTCCCCTGCCTCCCCTGACTGCACGTCCCTGCTACACACTCAATCAGGAGGAGGAGGAGGAGCAGGAGAGGGAGGAAGAGGAGGAAGAGGGGAGCTGATCCTGCAGGAGGTGAGAGCACAGCCTGGATCTGTCTGTGGGGGCTTCAGGCAAAGTGGGGTTAAGGGTCTTGCAGACTTCAGTGGGAGTCTCTTCTCTCTCTCCTTTCTCTCTCTGTCCCCTCTCTTTATCTCTCCTCTCTCTCTCTCCTCTCCCTCCTTTCTCGCGCCTCTGTTTCTCTCTCCCCTCTTTCTCTCTGTCTCTCGTCTCTCTCTCCTACCAGTGAAAAGCCAATGAATCATCAAATCTCAGAGCTGCAGAACGTCTCATATAAAAGTATTTTCTGAAACGTCTCAGTCTCAGTTTTGTTCCAGTTTTCTGACCCCTGTCTTTGCTTTTCATTTTTTTTCATGATTGCAGTTTTTGATTATTTCAGTTTGATGAGTTGCGGCTGAAGAGGTTTGTCATTTGGAGACGATTCGTTCTTTACTAAAAAAAGGTGATTTAAACTTAATCTCCCGACAGGAGCTCAGCTTCTGTCAAACCTGCGCTGCCTCTGGACTTCACTGTGAGAGATTTTAGTGAACATTTTGAAATATTGGAATTTTTCTTGGAATCTTCTGCTGCAAAAACTGAAATGTCAAAAATGTCTCACATTTGGCAAAATGTATCTTAATCTGAGCAGATTTTGACCGAGCCTTAAACTATGATCTAGTTTTTAAAAATATTCAGAAATGTCTCTTTGGAGGAAATAAAACTAAATACAGTAACTTTGTCTCGTTGGAGAATCTGGGAAAAAGTGCTAAAATTAAAGGTTTACAGGATTTTTCCCAAATTATAGGTAAGAATGTCTCAGCAGAATGATTGGCAGTTATAGAATAGAATAGAATAGATCTTTATTGAGCAGAAATTTGTCTTTCAACACGGCAAAATAAAAAATAATAATTCTTAAAACACACTTAATACATTTAGCAAAGACACAACAGTTTATCATTTATACACTATGTATATATTTGTTTAGTTAACTCTAACATTGTTTGTCTTTAATAGCTTTGAATCTTGATGTTTTTGCTTCTGTCTCTTTCTTTAATCAAAACAAGAGTCAACAAATAATTCTATAATCATCTCTTCTCTTCGTTGCTCCTTCACACGTCTCACTCTCTTCTCTCAGATCTTTACCATGTTCTTTTAATTAGTATTTAATTGTGGAAAAGTGGATTCCTCCTGTTTACCTTTAAGATAAAACGACGTGATTAAAGCATATTTTATCGTGACAAACATACTATCCCTGCACCTCGCTCCTAAACAGTTTGGTTCTAACTTCTAGTTTTTACTCATTTTCAGCCTCAGTCACATTTTTCAGCTTTTTCAGACAAAAGGGTGAAAATGAGTTCAGTCCAAATGGTCCGACTGTGGCTCTTTCTTAAAAGTATAAAAACAAAAACTGGACTTTTAAACAATAGCATGACTCTTAAATCTTAAACATATATATCTTTTATCTCCGCTGGGTTTTGTTCTTTGCCGACACAGGGTCTGAGGACAGCGGCCATGATCCAGGACTTTTATTAAATAGTAAATCTTAGAGTTTGAGTTGAAATGTTTTGTCTTTTTCCCAGAAGAATATTTTTTTGTTTTTGTTTTACAGTTTACAGTTTACAGACAAAACCTATTTATGAAATGTGAAAAAAATACATTCTCCGGCTTTAAATGTCAGTCCATCTCTTTTTATGTCACAAATCTGGGGCCGGGTTCCAGAGGCAGCGGTCTGAGTCATTAAAGAACGAAAATACAGCTTTTTCTATCATCTCATTGGTCACACATTACAGTGGAGGAGTCAGCACCTCTCCCTGTAGTTTGGTGAAGGGGGGGGGGGGGGGGGGGGGGTCAGATTGATGAGTGTTGGAAGCAAGGTGACTTTTGGCGAGTGGGAGGAGCCAGGAGAAAATGAGAAACTTACTGCAGAGAGAGAGCTGTGTTTCTGCAATCGCTTCAAATGAACACGATCCTCTAAGTGGCCTGGTTAGCAACGCTGCTAATTTATAAAGAGCTATAAGAGGAGAATGAGAGGAGACGAGTGAAGGTGCAACGATGTGAAGAGATGGAGTGTTATTTATAGAGCGACGCATGTTGTTTTGATTAAGGAAAGAGACAAAAGTAAAAACGTCAACATTCAAAACTATAAAATACAAACAATGTTAAATATATAAAACTTTAGGACCAAAGGCTTTAGGATTTTCAAGGTCATAGGAGAGAGAGAGAAACCAGAGAGAGACCAGAGAGAGACCAGAGAGAGACCAGAGAGAGACTAAAGAGAGACCAGAGAGAGACCAGAGAGAGACTAAAGAGAGACTAAAGAGAGACTAAAGAGAGACCAGAGAGAGACCAGAGAGAGACTAAAGAGAGACCAGAGAGAGACCAGAGAGAGACCAGAGAGAGACCAGAGAGACCAGAGAGAGACCAGAGAGAGACCAGAGAGAGAGACCAGAGAGAGACCAGAGAAAGACCAGAGAGAGAAACCAGAGAGAGAGACCAGAGATAGACCAGAGAGAGATCAGAGAGAGAGATAAAAGACAGCAGTCTCCTCTCAGTTTGAGTGCGTGTGAATCCCTAAGTCCTTCATTACCGCTGTTTTCTTCTTGTAATGACCATAAATCATCACCATCAACACCATTTTCCGTGTCAATCCTAAAGTGCTTCTGTAAGAGGCGGTAATTACCAAAACAGGAGACACAATTAGAGGAGAGTGATAGCTTTTGTTGAGGATGATGCGTAGGGCTGTGGCGTTGTGTACATGTCCGCCGCAGACGCACTCAGAGGCGGCGCCGGGAACACTCAGGGGCAGAAGTGACTAATTAAAGGGGCAATTATAGCACGGTTGCCGACGGTAACGCAAAGTCAACGGCTGACCGACCTTTTCAATCGCACACACTTGGACACACGCGCTAACACAGCTCACAGTTTGATGTCATGAGAAAGTTTAGCTTGGATTTTCTGGGGTGAAGACAACACAATATGCTTCAGCCCAGCCTGGTCTTACCACACCATAGTACTCATTTCATTCTGTACTAAGGTCCTGGATTTGCCCCATTGACTCCGTTAACAGGTGGGAGGGGTTAACTCCTTTTGCAGATTGAAACGATTGGATTTGAGTTTACTGAGTGAGTGAGGCCTTTAGCATTTAGCCTAGCTTTAGCATGTGGCCTAGCTTTAGCCATCTCCTTTGCCACTAACGGAGCCCGTGGGGAGTAGAGCCACAACATCCTTGCAGAAATGACATTTACTAAACATTCCTCTGGTCTCTCTCTGCCCTCTCACAACATAACTAGGTAATATTATCTAATCACCACCGTTATGATTTTAATGATAATAATAATAATAATAATAATAATAATAATAATAATAATAATAATGCATTGGTTTTATATAGTACTGTAATGGACACTCAAAGACTCTTCACCTCATTATTATTTCACTCCAAACACAAGGTCTAATTCTTTGGCCAGAGTGAGAGCAGAGAGAGAGACCAGAGAGAGACCAGAGAGAGAGAGACCAGAGAGAGACCAGAGAGAGAGAGACCAGAGAGAGAGACCAGAGAGAGAGACCAGAGAGAGACCAGAGAGAGACCAGAGAGAGAGACCAGAGAGAGTGACCAGAGAGAGACCAGAGAGAGACCAGAGAGAGAGACCAGAGAGAGAGACCAGAGAGAGACCAGAGAGAGACCAGAGAGAGAGACCAGAGAGAGAGAGACCAGAGAGAGACCAGAGAGAGACCAGAGAGAGACCAGAGAGAGACCAGAGAGAGAGACCAGAGAGACAGAGACCAGAGAGAGACCAGAGAGAGACCAGAGAGAGAGACCAGAGAGAGACCAGAGAGGGACCAGAGAGAGACCAGAGAGAGACCTCCAAACCCTTCTTTGGGCATTTTTCTTGTATTGTTCAGCATTTTGAGTTAACCTTGGGTATAAACGTTGCGATACAAATAAACTTGCCTTGTCTTACAACTACATGCGAATGGTGTAACTATACCATGCCAAATATGTTAGCTTTTGATCAGTACTGAGCAGAGACATCACAAACAGTCTTCCTGAAAACGTGAGGCCTCTTGTGTAAATTCATTATACTGCTTTGAACCTTGGATTTATTGGATTTGAATAAGAACTTTTAGGCTATGATACTTTTGTAAGATTTTTCCCCAAAGTCCTGAGATCAAAACTCCAAATTCAAACCAAGTTGTAGGTTTAGCATAAATCTGGTTATTGGCAAAATGGTTAAAAGTCAAAAACCATGTCCTTGTACAATAATAATAACTCTAGAGAAGAACAAAGACAGAGACCAGAGAGACACCAGAGAGAGACCAGAGAGAGACCAGAGAGAGACAAGAGAGAGACCAGAGAGAGACCAGAGAGAGACAAGAGAGAGACAAGAGAGAGACCAGAGAGAGACAAGAGAGAGACCAGAGAGAGACCAGAGAGAGACCAGAGAGAGACCAGAGAGACACCAGAGGCAGAGAGACTAGAGAGAGGGAGACTAGAGAGAGAGACTAAGAGACTAGAGAGAAAGACCATAGAATGCTATTAGCTTTTGATCAAGAATCAAAAATGCGAGACGAGTAATTCCACTTCCAAAAACTAACCAAAAAACCGCCCTCTCCACTTTTGAACCAAACACTCTGTTCTTATTGGACGAGCACCAGAATGATTGACAAGTGGGAGGACCAATAGCCTTGATGATCCACCCTCTTATACTGTACACCTTTAAGTCCTGCATATAGACGTACTGCAGCTGTATTTAAGTCCTGCATATAGACGTACTGCAGCTGTATCTATTGTCGATACAGAGTCAAGAGTCGCAGTGATTCTGTGCCAGCTCTGCCCTGAAGCATCCATCATCAGTGTCTTAGTGATTACACAGGCCTCGCTCTGGTCTCCCTCTGGTCTCCCTCTGGTCTCGCTCTGGTCTCCCTCTGGCCTTCCACACCAACCCCACCTCTCCACCCGCCTCTCTCTGGCCTCCCACAACAACCCCACCTCTCCACCCGCCTCTCTCTGGCCTCCCACACCAACCCCATCTCTCCACCCGCCTTCGTGCCAACCTCTTCCCCCGGCTTCATCTCTTTTCTTTGGGCTCGTCTGCTCCTCTCGTCCCTTACACCTCCACAGCATCGCCACAGGTCACGGTGAAAGACCGGCCATAAATCTCCCACTGACAGCGCCCTCCATCCAGGAAGTAAACCCCAAATAAGTCCAAGCTACTTATCTCTTTCTCTTCATTGTTTTTCCTTTCCTCTGTCTCTCATACACTCTCTATATCTCTCTTTCTTTCTCTCCATCTCTCTCTCTCTACATTGTTTTTCCGGTACTCTCTCTTCCCTCTCTCTTTGTTTCTCTCTATCTCTCTCTGTCCGTCTCTCGTTCTGTCTCTCTCTGTCTCTCTCTCGTTCTGTCTCTCTCTGTCTCTCTTTCTCTCTATCTTTGTCCCTCTCTCCCTTAGTTGTTTTTCCATTCCTCTCTCTCCCCTCCCTCTCTCACTCTTTGTTTCTATCTCGCTACTTCCATCTCTTTCTTCCCTCTCTCTTACTCCCTCTTGATTGTTTTCCCCCTCTCTCCTTGCCCTCTCTCTCTCCTCTCCCTTCCTCTCTACTCTCGCTCTCTTCTCCCTCCCTTCTCTCTCCTCCCCCTCTCCCCCCTATCTTCGCTCTCCCCTCCATCTCTCTCTCTCCTCCCTCTCTCCCTCCCTTTTCTCTCTCTCTCCCTTCCTCTCTCTTCTCCCCCCTCTCTCTCCTCCCTCTCTCTCTCTCTCTCTCTCTTCTCCCCCCTCTCTCTCTCTCTCTCTCTCTTGGTGAAAGTGTTTGGGAAAAGCAGAAAGCTTTAGAGTTTAATTTCTGCTCCAAACGAAGTCGGGGCCACAGGGCGAGCAGTAAAGTGGGATATTTGCTGAGGCAATTTGGAGCAGATGAATATGATGAATGGGCAACGCTGGGCTTTCACTCTGCTCTTATTCTCTCTTATTCTCTCCTTTTGACTCCGGTCTCTAACTATCAAAGGTGATCAGATCCGACCCACAAACAAACACACAGAGAGATGATGCAGGGCTTTTATCCTCCTGAAACTTAGATGTGCCTTTCACTGATCTGTGTTTAATGAAAGAGAGAAAAGCAACTGTAACTTTGCAAAGTGACTGTTGGAGTTTATGTCAGGAGTGTCCAGCCTGGAAGTCAATTCAAATGGATAAATATAAATATAGCGCTGGGGGAAAATAATCATCAAAACTATACAACTATAGATAGAAAAGTAACTGTAATACAACCTTAATGTTTAAATATGACACCAACTTTTTTTGACTGCAATTCATGCATCTTAACACGGCTTTAGTAAACAATACTTAAACTACAGATGAAGAGATGTATTATTTTTCTCCCACAGTGGGGAAATTTCAGTGTTGCATCAGTCGCTTGCCGCAGATGCACACACAATAGGTCTGTGCCTCCTGTAGACTCCTGCTCCATCTCTGTGTGGAGTGACAGACTGATGCCCACTCTGGTGAGTGGGCACTCTGGTCTGAGAAAGGCGCTATATAAATAAACATTACTTACTTACTATTGTAACTCAAAAAAAAGCTTGAAAAAATGATATAGGTCTCGAACTTGTGGCTCGGGAGCTAACAGTAGCTCACCAGCCCTTTCATGTAGCTCGCCAAAGGATTTATGGTGCGTTCAGACCAAACTCGTTTTGGGCGTCAAAATCGCATCTGACGCGTGTCTTGGGACACTTGTGACAAATTGTGGCAGACGCGTGTCACAGAGCAACTTGGAGGCGCGTCTGGCTGATGTTTACATTCTTAATTACAGTCTTAATTATGAATACCCATGGGTATTAGCAGTAATTGTTTGTTTATACAAAGTGATATTTCATGTCACAAAACATCACATGTATGTAACAATGCACATATATGCATTAAATGATTATTATTTATGATTCATATATTTGCTAATGGCCCTCGTTTGTGCATCACTTAAAAGTAATTTGTATCAGGCCTAAATGTAATAACGTGTGTTTGCTGAGAAAGGAACAATCATGGATCTATGATATCTGTAAAATGGAGTTGAACACAGGAGATGAAGTCTTGAAAAGCAATACACTGTTACTAATCAGATTAGAGTTTAATGTATTCAATTAGAAGTATAAGTACTGCTGACAAATATGTAGCTGTGTAAATAATACCTCACTTTTCATGACACTTTACACTTCAGACACAAAGTCATAATAAAGCCAACAAGTTTGATTTTTTCATCTTTTATTTCTAGGTTCTTTATGAAGCGCACACTGTAGATACCTTTGTCAGAGGCAGACGCCCAGGACTCTGCTGTTGCTCCTGCTCCTGCTGCTCCTCGTCTTCAGAGATGCAGAGCCCACTGTTCTAACTATTCATGACTGATGATTAAATAAAACATGAAAATGTGTTTGTTGTAGTTCATATTGTAAATCCGCAGTGAAGCAGGAGGTGATGGAGGTGAAGCAGGAGGTGATGGAGGTGAAGCTGGAGGTGATGGAGGTGAAGCAGGAGGTGATGGAGGTGAAGCAGGAGGTGATGGAGGTGAAGCAGGAGGTGATGGAAGTGAAGCAGGAGGTGATGGAGGTGAAGCGGGAGGTGATGGAGGTGAAGCAGGAGGTGATGGAGGTGAAGCTGGAGAAACGATAAGATAAGATAAGATTTCTTTATTTATCTCACATAGGAGAAATTTACATGTCACATTTGGCATGGATAGAGACACTCAGATTGTGCAAAAGGAGGAAATGTGCAAACATGTTACATGCAGGATATATGTACAATAAAGTGACAATAATTATGTACAACAAAAGTGACAAGTGTCAATTGGAAACAGTGTCAATAGTAGTGCAGGTTTTCACACAGTGATCATTTAAAGTGACTTATTGTACAGTCTGACAGCGGTGGGGATAAAGGCCCTGCGGTAGCGCTCCTTCCTACACTGAGGGTGCCTCAGTCTTCCACTGAAGGAGCTCCTCAGCTCCTCTACAGTCCTGTGCAGTGGGTGGGAGGTATTGTTCATGATGGAGGTGGCTTTGGCTAGCACCCTCCTGTCCCTCACCTCCTCCACAGAGTCCAGGGAGCAGCCCAGAGTGGAGCTGGCCCTCCTGACCAGCTTGTTCAGTCTGTTTCTGTCCCGCTCTGTGCTGCCCGGGGCCCAGCACACGGCAGCATAGTAAATGGCAGAAGCTACCACAGAGTCATAAAAAGTCCTGAGCAGAGGCCTGCTCACTCCGAAGGACCTCAGCCTCCTCAGAAGGAAGAGGCGACTTTGGCCCTTCTTGTGCAGGGCGTTTGTATTATGGGACCAGTCCAGTTTATTGTTAATGTGAACACCCAGGTACTTGAAGCTGTCCACCAGCTCAATGTCCTCCCCCTGGATGTTCAGCAGCGTGTGGGAAAGTGGTTTTCTCCTGAAGTCAATTACCATCTCCTTGGTCTTACTGGTGTTCAAGCACAAGTGGTTGCGCTCACACCAGTCGACAAAGTCCTTGATAACCGACCGATATTCCAGTTCGTTCCCCTCAGACACACAGCCCACGATGGCGGAGTCGTCTGAGAACTTTCGTAGGTGACAGCTGAGTGTGTCGTGTGTGAAGTCTGAAGTGCAGATGGCTGCGCAGCCGCACGTACTGTGGTCAGTCAGAGGTAGTTGATGGTCCATGCAGTGAGGCTACTGTCCACTCCCGCGTCCTCCATCTTCCCCCGCAGCAGTGCCGGCCTGATGGTATTGAAAGCGCTGGAGAAGTCAAAAAACATGACCCTCACAGCGCTCCCGGCGGGCTCCAGGTGGGAGAGCGTCCGCTGCAGGAAGTAGATGACGGCGTCCTCTACTCCGATGTTGGGCCTGTAGGCGAACTGCAGCGGGTCCAGGGTGGGGCTGACCACAGAGCGGAGATGGGTGAGGATGAGCCGCTCCATTGTCTTCATCAGGTGGGAGGTCAGTGCGACTGGTCTGTAGTGAGCCGGTTCGTTGGCGTGTGCTGTTTTTGGAACCGGGATCACACAGGAGGTCTTCCACAGGACAGGGACCTTCTCCAGGCTGAGGCTCAGGTTGTACATGTAGCTGAGGACCCCAGAGAGCTGGTCTGCACAGGTCCTCAGCAGCCTGGGACTGATCCCGTCCGGTCCTGCGGATTTCCTCAGCTTCAGGCGCTGGAGCTGACTCCTCACCTGGTCCGGTGTGATGGAGAGGGGGGGGGACTGGGATGTACTGTCCGAGGTGGGGGCTGGGGATGCGGGGGCAGGAGGGCCCGGGGCAGCCGGAGGCAGTGTCCACTGGGCGGTGTCCACTGGGCTGGGGACGTGTGAAGAGGTGGGGGCGGGAGGGGGGGCAGATGGAGAGGGGGGAGAATCAAACCGGTTGAAGTGCTGGTTAAATTCGTCCGCCCGGTGCTGGTCTCCATCTGCTGTTCCTCTGGCACTCTGTCCAAAGCCGGAGATGTTCTTTAGGCCTCTCCACACGTCGCGGGCGTTTCCCTGGGCCAGCTTCTGCTCCAGCTTTTTCCCATAGTCCTTCTTGGCCCTCTTGATCCTCCACTGGAGCTCGTGCTGGATCCTCTTCTGCTCCTCCCTGTCCCCTGAGATGAAAGCCCTTTTCTTGAGGTTCAGGAGGGCTTTAAGCTCAGGGGTCACCCATGGGTGGTTGTTAGATGGCGTGTGATTTTGTTGCTGTCAGAGAAAGTCAGAGTTCCATTTCTCCAGTAGCCTCTGAAAAAGAACACAAACATCATAACACATGGACCCCAGAAAATAAAATACAGAAATCCTTCCTGTATTAAATATTAGAAGTACAAGTTTTCACAGCAGGAGAAACGGACACTGAGGAGTAACAGAAGAATAATATAATAGAAATATACACACAAATAACAAACTTAGAAGCGTGGCTAACCACTTTAAACCTGTGTTTGTGGAATTGAGACTGTCATCTGTAAATGTCTGGTATTAATGACAAAAGACACATCTGTATAATGTGCTTTTATTTAATCATTCTACACATATATTTATCAAACTATTGTATGAAAAGTGCTTCATAATGAGCCAAATATATACAGTCAATGTAAATAAATATACAGTATTCCCAGTCTCAGTATGGGATTAAAAACGATATACACAA